GTGCCGCCGGGGCGGGAGGGCAGGGCCGGAGGCGCCCGCTGTCCTGCCCGGCCCCGCGGGCAGCTCTGAACCCGCAGCGAGTCCCCAACTACCCAGAGCAGCGGTGCGGGGCCGGGGGCACCCCCGCCTCTGCCTTCCCCCCCCCCCCCGCAGCCCGGGCCGGGAGCGGAGCCTCCCGCAGCCGCACGGCCCCCGGGCCGGGAACGCGAACCGGCAGCGGAGCGGGTGTGAGCAGGCACCGATGCGGGAGGCGGGCAGACGGGGCTCAGAGCCGTGCCCGGGCGCAGCTGGCGGCTGTGGGGCAACCTGCCCAGCCGGTCCCCGGGGATCCCCCTCTCCCGGGTGCCGGAGCCGCGCTGCCCCGCAGCCGGCTTCCTCCGAGGGAGGGGACGGGAGCAAGGAGGGGCCGCCCCGCACGGCAGCAACGATTTCTGTCCTCAGCAAGGACAGGGAGAGCAGCCATCGGCCGCTGTGGTGCCTCCGGTAAGCGAGAAGGAAAGGCTTGAAGATGATGAAAGAATTAAATTTCTCTGCCAGGCCGGGGATGGTCAGCCTCGCCTGTCTGGTTTGTGATGCCCTACAAGCAGGCTGACCCAGGAAAACCACAAGGCTGTTGCAGGGTGCGGGTGCAGCGTGTTGCTCCATCCCCACCCCTCTGGCTCCCTCTGCTTGACACGGCTTCCCTCCCTCTCACGCCCTGACATCCCAGGCTTCTGCTTGGTTGCTCGTGGTAAAGCCAAAGGGCTGTGCGCAGCACTGCTTAAACATTAACAGTCATCGTCCCTGCTTTCTCAGCACAGAAAGCTCGTTCAGCTGCAGAAAACTACTTGTCTTGTTACTTGGGAAGAAGGATGGTAATAGAGAGAGACAGGCAAGAAGTGCCAGCCCAACACAAACAAGGAAGCTGCCGGCTCCCTGGCAGCCAGTCCAGGGTCAGGATGAGGTTTCCTCTTGTGCAACACCCAGGAGCTCGGTGCAGATGTAAAGAAAGATGGAAGAAATGGCTGAAAAGCAGTGCTCTCTACAGCCTCTTTCACCTGTGCTGGTGTGGGAGCAGTGGAATTGGATCTCCCTAGGAGTTTAAAAATAGTTTCTTAAGGAAGAAAGAGCCTGCTGGCTCAGGAGAGCTCTGGAACTAAAAACAGGGGCTGAGTCTTCATGGGGACAACCTCATCATCCTGACACACCGAAGTGACCCACAGGGATCTTGCATACTGTGTTTGCTGCTCTGTGCAACAGCAGCTCCTGCCCAGGAGGGCTGCGCACCAGCACCTCTGTGCGGGTCAAGATAGGGAGACAGAGCCGTGCATCCAGTGTCAGCCTGGAGGAGCCAGCCAGTACTGGGCTGTTCCTGGCTGGTGTAAACTCGCCCACATCTGGTACTTCCACTGGGCCGTATGCCCTCCACCTGAGCTGGTGCAGCACCGAGCAGGCACTGACGGAGCCCACGGGGATTCAGCCCCTCAGCCAGGGGACACTGCCCTGCCCAGGCAGTGATAGCGGGGCAGGAGCACGGGAGCAGGCGTACCCAAGGGGCTGGGCATCAGCGGGCTCCCCTTCCAGCGGCAGGAGGTGTCCATCACTCAGTTCTGCTCCACGACAAACTGCCAAAGCTGTGGAAAAGTTGCTTTTTCCATTTTTAGCCATTTTGTTGCCTCCATGTGGTGATCCAGCCTCGGCAGCAAACACATTGCTTAAGCATGAACATTAGAGGCGTCTGGATAAATAAAGCTGGTGTGGATGCCTAGACACCTCCAGGTTTCTCTGCTTGCAAGGGAGGAATGTTTTATAAAGCTGACAATTTTGCTTTCAGTCTTTGTATCTTTGCAGGGCATGTCTTCTCCATGACATGTTTGCTATTTACACCCCACTCCACATAAACAACAGCTTTCTAGCACTTTTGGCACACTCCCGGCCCTGCCACCTGTGCTAACAGGAGCCCCAGGAGTCAGCCCCGAGTGGGATCCTCCCTGTGGGGCGGGAGCCAGGCGGAGCGGCCCCGGCATCCAGGGAAGAAGGAGCCCTCTGAATCGCTGCAGGAGATTCCCCTCTCATCAGCCAGCACCTCGCAGCACGGCGGCTGGAAGAATGGCTGTGAGCTCCGGGGAAGGTCCTGCCTCCCCTTCTGCCCCCTTCACCCATTCCTGAACCTAGCTGGCACTGCATTTTGCTGCCAGCCTTACACCTTCCTCTCTTTGTCTTCTTTCCTCTGCCTCAGTTGGCCCCTTTTCAGGGTCCTGCCGGTGCCCCCCTCTCCTCTCCTGGGTTCTTGGCTCTCTTCCCAAGTTGATCTTTCCCATCTTTCCTCCTTCATCACTCCCAAGCTCTCTGATCTCCCTGCTGGGGTGGGATTTACCAAAGCAGCTCCAGACTCCACAGCCTTGCCCAGCATTAACCCTGAAGGCCCCTCCCAGGCCAGTTGCAGCTCACTGCATGGTCCTGGATGCTGGTTTGCCACAGGACAGTTTCTCCCAATGCCCCCAGGAAGCATCTCGTGCTCCTCTGTTCCCACCCTGCCCAGAGCAGCACCCAGCTCACAGGACCACAGGGACTGTGGCCAGACAGCATTCATGACACAAACTCCATGGAAGGGATTTGGAGCTTGTCCCCATCCCTCAGTCCTTTCGCCTTGCTTCCCCCCCACCCCCCGAGGCACTGATCACCCAGGGCCACGAATGGACAGCAGGCAAGAACTGCTGCTGAGGGTCTCCCAGCTCGGTGGGTTCACCAGCAAGTACCCAGTCCAAGGGCTCATCCCAAGCACAGGCAGCTGACAGGCAGGCAAAAAGAGAAAGGTTGCAGAAATGTAGGGTTCAGGAGATTATTACAGAAATACACAAAGAAAGTCTGTGCCAGGAACACATGAAACCTATAGGAAAAAAGAGAAGCAATAAAATGCGTACTGGAAATAGCAAATAAGATTAAAGGTGGTATTCTGCCCTTGATGTCTTCAGGTTGTAGACAGAAGAGATCAAGGTTAGTATTTATTTCCAGAGCCAAAAGAAGCCCTCAGGGCCAAAGTGTCATTGTTAATCCAGTTTTCTGTGTCTAATATGTATGTCATTAACAACCTTTTGATTCTGGGCTGACAAACTGCCACCTTTCTTTGTGCTGGGAATTGATGGCTGAGCAGTACATGTACCTGGATGGGGGGGGATTTTCAGTGCCCCAGGGCAGCTGGGGCTGAGCTGCTCCAGCCTCACAGCCCTGGCAATGTCCTTGAACGCCTGCATGAAGCCTCCACCACAGGTTCTGCTGCTCGAGTGTCTCCCCATTCTCCCTGACCTAGCAGGAAACTTGGAGCTGGAAAAAGGATGTTTCAGTGTTTCGCAGCCAGGAAGTGGAGGAGCAAGGGATGCAGCCAAGCCAGATCTGTGGGCAGCAGTAAGGGGCCAGGAGTGTGCAAGGATGGGGGTCAGGGCTGATGGTGCTCGGAGACCTGTGGCACCTCCCCCAGCACCGCTGCGGGCACTGTGACGGGGCATGTGCCAGCAGGACCTGGCCATTCCCAAACGCCAGGAGCACACTGGGACTGCGTCCTCTCTCCTGCTCCAGCCAATGCCAAAGGCTCTGGCATTGCTGCCGTGGCTGTCAGCACTCAGGTGGTTCTCCTTCGCTCCTCTTTGGTGCAGCCTTCACAACATCCTGGCCCCAGTGAGAGCCACAGGCTTGGCGATGTGGAAGATGGATGTGATACTCAGTCCCATCAGCTAATGGCACTTCAGCTGCCCTGGCCTCAGAGCTGCTTCCGAAGGCTGATGCCAGCTCCTGCAGCCCCTCAGCTCATCACCACCAAACTCAACACAGGTCTCCCAGCTCCGAAGTGTGGGGTCTCTCAAGGGCAGCAGAGTCCAAAAGTGCCTGCGAGACAGAAGGGTGGAAGCAGAGACTTTCCAAGCTGCCTTGAATTGAGTCTGAAACTCCTGTTAAGCTTCATAAATCAGGTGTAAATGCACTGTATTCTGAATAAGGCCAGAAACAATAAATTTAATTTTGACTCTGACTCAAGCTACTTTGGTCCTAATTCTGAGCCTCTTGCCCAGCCAGAGCAGCCAGCCCTGGCCATGTTGCACAAACTCATTTGATTCTGAAATGCATTTTTAAGCAGGATGGAGTGGTGCTTAAAAGCTAAATGGCTTCCCCCAGCTGTAATCACTGCTAGCTGAGTCCTGGAATGAAAGGGATAAAGTCTGGGGGCGGGGGGAGGTTTTAATCTCGGTAAGTAGATTACAGAGATTACTGCAATTTAATCCTTCCATATCTGTCACTGACGCTGCAAAGACCATAACTGGAGGTGGGCAGGGGTGCGCTGGCGCCCTCCGAGCTCCTGCCCCTCGTAGCGGGCAGCTGTGCCACAGCCCTGCCACCCACCACACTGGAGGCGAGGGCTGCTCCCACTGGGATGTTGTCCAGCGGGTGCCGACCCCAGCACTGCAGCCGGCAGATGAGGATGCCAGGTCAGGCTGACCCTCCGTCCCCAACCATGACTGGCTGGGTAAAGGAGGC